ATCGACATACTCCAAAGCAAGCAGTTGGAAGATGACATTTTATAGGGAAACCCTAACTACGAAACTCCCGGTTGTGGTACTGATTAAGGAGTGCTATGTGGAATTGCTACCGTACGGCATCGCAGCGACATTCACAGTCACAGATAATATCGTTTGCTGTGGTATGAATTGCACTGATTGCCGTGGAACCAGTTGCAGAGATATGGCACCCAGAGCAGACAATAATGGTGGACGAAAGGAATGCTGCCGAAGTAATTGAGGTGGTGGTCGTTGACACATTAGCGTTTGACTAGGAGGGGAGCTGGTGCTAGAATCCGGCTGTGAAGTATGTCCCCATGCTCCATCATAACGCATCGACACAGCACCAGCATCGGGCTGAAAACTGCCATGCAGCGATAGCTGACTGGAGCGGACACTAGTGAAACTGCAATTACTGCGACACTAAGGACAGTAACAGGAGCAATTTAATGAAGATACAGTAAACTACATGAGCTTCCCCCTTCTTCTGCTGCTTAGTCACCACCTGTGCCTGTCCTTATGTTGATGACAAGGGCTCCCATTGATCAAAATTTCAACTAAACCATCACGGAAGTGAGACTACCAGCACCTGCGTCTAGTTATGAGTAATGGCCAGTAATGTAGTGAGGTTGTATTAGAACAATCACCACAACATCTCTCAAGAAATGCGAACATGGCATTCCTTCCCCTGCTGCCTACGTGCGAATGTCTCTACCAAAGGCGGATGTGATGTAAAGTAAAGCATCAAGTCGTTCAGTCTTTGTCAGTGGAAGCTAAACGAATGCAATAAAGACATCACCCAACACACGGCTTAGTGCTGCATAATCGCACTAAAGTCCACAAAATGTGCCACTGCATATGAAGTTAGGGTTAATTCCATCATGATTTAGATTTGACGCATCATTCGCGTACCACCGTGAAAACTTTTGTGACGGTGAGTACGAACAAACGGCCGCGCGAAACGCCGAGGATGAAGATCAAAACAAGTTGTCCCTACTTTACAAATTCACCTACTGTGCTCGTGATACGAAGCTAAGTCGATGGCCACTCAAACCATTTGTGCGTCAAATAATGTACTTTGTGCCATTAGAGAAAGCAGAAGGGGCATGGAGGAATAGACAAGAGAAGTGCGATTGCGGTGAAATATCGCAATTGCATGGCTGAGCGAATCATTGAATCAATTGCCAAGAAATGAATAAATGTAGTTGCTTTTCCACCTGGTATTGGTGTCGAGGTGCGACGTCGGGTGGCGGTGTCGGTGGCATGTCGGTGTCGGTGTCGGTGTCGGTGTCGTCGTTGTTGGTGGCGCTGATGAAGAGG